AGATGGTTGGAATGAATCTTTAGCATTCTTAACACTTATTGGTTTGTGTCTAGTTTATTTCATGGGAGGTCACTTATTGACTCCCAATTAAGCCATTTTACCTCTGAAAATTATATAAAGAAAGGACACTTGTACACAGTTTATCAATGGTCAGTAGAGGAATGTCTGTTTTCTATGCATATGAAACCCAAATGTCAAAAATAAATTGGCTTAAGTGTGGGAAAAAAAAAACGCCAAGTACTTTGCATCAGACAATAAGATGCCTAAGGGCATCTCAAGGAATTGTCCAGACTGCCCCACTCTCATTGCAGGCTCAAGAGTATAAAAAAAGTACAATCTACTTTGAAAGACTGCCTGAGAAAAATGCTGGGGCACGCTGGTCACACAAGGACATAAGAAATGTATCTTGTTTTCCCCAAGATGCATTTCACCATGTTCAATCATCCTGACACTCAGAAAGCTGCAGCTGTGGTCCAAGGGGGCCTATGTACTGCTCAAGCTGGAAGCAGACCTTTGCATCATGTGCGTGATGGTGGTTTTGCAGACATTCTGAATGTAAAACATATGGGGTTGTAGAGTCTTCTACCCAGATTTCTAAGGAAAACCTGCAAATGTAGGCAATCTGTAGCAGGGTCAGACTCCCTATAAGAAGTCCCTGATAGGATGATGTGTAAAGCTGTGAAAGTGAAGTTGAAGATACAATGGAGACCCTAGTAAATTGGAGATGCCAGAATTGTGGAAAGTCTGCCAAGAAACACTGCAGACACTAAGCAGAGTCAACCCAAGTGGGAGGCCATGGGGGCTGCAACTGGCAGGGTTACCCAAGTCCTTTGGGGCTCACATCATGCCATAATATATCTTGGATACTGGATATGGAACTATAGGATTTAATGTTTGTCCTGCGGGGTTTCAATCTTGCTTTGTTTGGTCCCATCCTTTATTTCTATGCCCCCATTTGGGAATGTTTATGCCATTGTGTATTGGGAGAATGTAACTTGGTTTCTTTAATTCTACAGGATCTCACAGCTAAGACATCTTGTGTCTTAGAGATGACTCTGGACTTGAACTTTTGAGAAATACTAGAACTATTAAAAATAAGGAAACCTTGGAGATAGATGAAATTCATTTTGTATTATGAGATAGATATAAACCTTTAGAGGCCAGGTGGAATATTCTTGTTTGAATCTGGGATGCACCCCAAAGACTCATGTGTTGATAGCTTGGTTGCAAACTGATGGGCTTTTAGGGAGTGATTAGATCCTGAGGGATCTGACCTAATCAATGAATTAATCTATCTTGTAAAAAAAATGGCAATACTGGAGATTGAACTCAGGGCCTTTCAATTGCTGAACAAGCACTCTACCACTTGACCACATCCCAGCCCTGGATTAGCCCCCCATGGGTTCATAATGTGACATTCTTGGAAAGTGGTTGAGACTAAGAGGTGGACTTAGCTGAGGGGAGTTAAGTCACTGGGGGCGTCCCTGAGAACATGTACATACCTTGTCCCCAGTCCCCGCCTGTCTCTCTCTCTCTCTGCTTTCCACCCGCCATGAAGTGAGAAATCTTTTCTGTCACGTTCCCACTTCCATGATATTCTGCTTGACCACAAGCCCACAACAATAGAGCAAGCCAGTCACTGACTGAAACCTCTGAAAATGTGAGAAAATAAATCCTTTTCCTTTGGGATGTTTTTATCAGGTTTTTGGTTATAGCAATGAAAAGTGACTAACACAGCCAGGAATGTTTTAAATAAGTAATAAATACATTCATAACTCACAAATTATTACATATTTATTCTCTGGCCTCATTTTAGCAAAATCACTAAGCATGTTGTTGTAACTAAGATTTTCACATAATTTCTGTGTTCTATGGACAGTAATTTTTAAGAAGACAACTTTCTTTAGAGCATTAGTTTCTTATTCATTTTAATCTGGAGAAATTTTGCTGGGCAGAGACTATAGAAATTGAAATGATCAATACGTATCTTTTCCTTTTGTTTAGGTTTTTGTTTTTTGTTGGTACTGAGGTTTGAACTGAAGGCTTTGTGTTTGCTAGGCAAGCACACTACCATTAGCCATGCCCTCAAGCCATTTTTCTTTTGTTTATTTTCCATGTAGGGGCTTGCTTTTACCCATGGCTAGACTTGAAACATAATCTTCCTACCTAAATTTTCTATATAGCTACGATTATAAGCCTGTACCACCATGCCCAGCTTCTTTGTTGAAATGGGGTCTTGCTAACTTTTTGCCTAGGTTGTCCTTGAACCATGATTCTCTAAATCTCCATCTCTTCAGTGGCTGGAATTGTAGGTATGAACCCCTGTGCCCAACAAGTGATCAATACATTTCTTCAGGTAATACTTAGATTCAGATATAAATTATAAATTTACATGTCAAAATCAAATATTGAAATAGTTTGTAAATGATAAATTATCATTATAGACATTATTTAATCAGTATCACAATTCATACTTATTTATCTCAACATATAAATACATAAATCTAAGACTAATATAAACTATTTAATATGCAAAATGCTTTTCAACTACCAAGTGCAATTGTTACAAATATCACACTAATCCTGCATACCTCCAGAATTACTGTTATAGTTTGGATATGAAGTGTCCTCAAAAAAGGCGCATCTGTTGAAGGTTTGCTTTCTAGCTTTTGTGGCTGGGTCATGAGGACGCTAACATCATCAATGGATGAGTCACACTGACTGGGTTATTGGGAGATGGGTGGAGGAAGTGAGTCATTGGAGGTATGTCTTTGAAAGGTGCATCTTATCTCTAGCAACTTCCTGTGTGTGTGTGTGTGTGTGTGTGTGTGTGTGTGTGTGTGTGTGTGTGTGTGTTTGTATGCCTACCATGAGGTGAACCACTTTGCTCTACCACATGTTCCCTGGCATGATGCTCTGATGCACCAAGCAGAGACCCAAAAGCAAAGGAGTCAAGTGACAATTTATGGAGACCTCTGAAATGGTGAGCCAAAATAAACCATTCCTCCCTTAAGTTGTTTTTCTCAGGTGTTTTGCCATATCAACAAAAAAACTAATTAACATGATTATAAATCTGAACAAAAAGAGACAAGGAAAATGCTTACTTACACTACTGGGAACAGTATTTTAGAATCTATTACATTCATGCATTCTAGTGCTGCTGAACAAAAACAAAATGAAAAAAATCCAAAACATTCTTGGCTTTAAAAAATTCCATAAAACATAATTTGAGGGATATATGTATATATAATTATATATATATATATATATATATATATATATATATATATATATATATCAGGTCAAATACCAATACCATGCCTTATAGTCAGAGACATTCTTCCTAAACCCCAAAACTGGAAATAAAAAAAGTATACCCATTATGTAAAATATTATATAACACAGTACTGTAGGTATCAGCCATTGCAATTACCTACTTATTATAAAGTTAGGTAATGAGATTGACCCAGTGTATGAAATGTGACCACTTCTATGAGTGAGAGAGGAGGGAGGCTATTTGCCCCACTCCAAATAAATGGGATTGTTTTAATCTACACAGAGAGAGTATAACAGAAAGCATTTAGAAGACATAGAGTTGCAAGGCTCCAGTGGCTCCTGCCCATTATCCTAGCTACTTAGGATTCAGAGATCAGGAAGATTATAGTTTGATACCAGCCCCAGACAAAATGTTCTTGAGATCCGGTATCCGAAAAAACCCATCACAAAACAAAGGGCTGGTGGAGTGGCTAAGTAGTAAAGAGCACCTGCCTAGCAAGCATTGGGCGCTGAGATCAAACCCCAGTGCTGCATCCTCCCACCCCAAAAAAGGAAAAGAGTTTAGGCAGACCTAACAGAAGTGTCCCATGTTACTTTTACTACTCTAATTCCTCACTGGCTCTCTACAATACCTACAAAATGGTCCCAAATTATTTCTACCAGTTCATGTTCACCTTGGCTATTTACCAATCATCTTCTCATCTGCAACTCAGTAACCCAGGAATATCTGGATGATAATTTGTACTTTAGAGATGGTACCTCCAATTTGACCTGTTGCCTACCCTATACCCAGAATCACTGAATCATGCCCTGTGAACCTATAGTGTATTTTTGTGCTGTCTGTGGGTTAACAGTGGTTTTTTACATTTGTAAATGTTTATATGAAATACAAATTTCAGTATCCATAAATGAATGTTTAATTGGAACACAGGTACCATCATTCATTTCATACTGCTATGGCAGCTATTGTGCTACAGTAACAGAGTTGAGGCATAGTAACAAAACCTTATAGCCCACAAAGCTGAAAATGTTTACTATCTGGCATTTTATAGAAAAAGTTTGCCACCACACAATCCCCATCATCATGGCTGCTTCAGTGAGTTGTAATTTTGTGAATCACAGGTTGCTCCTCTCTCATTGCTGATAATGCCAAAATGCTGTATATGTTTAGACACAAGAATAATTTTATCACTTTTGTTAACTTGTTGATTGGAGACTGATTAATAATCATATATACATGTAAGCTTCCATATCATCTTCAAATACTTGGCTCTAGCTTTGTAATAATAATAAAGCAAACACGAGCTATAACAATATTTTGAAATATGAGTGACCTAAGCATATTTAATTTGAGTTTTAGGAAACCAGCAAGTATTAGCATCCAATTCTTTTCATGTCTGTTTTATAAGCCAAAGAATTCTGGTTACTTGTTGGTAAATTTTTCCCTTGGTAAGTGTTATGATTGAGAGTTACTATAATGATGAATATTTTAGGGCAGGTAGAACTGCAAGTTTATTTCTACAAATATAGGACTCTCAGTGTCAATTTGGTTCGGTAGAAACCATTTTTTCCTCTCAAAATTCATGCCATTATCATTCTCAATCCCTGCTGCCCTTGTTATAACTTCCCTTTTACAATAAGAGATCAAAGATATTCCTCCATAAAAATTAAGAGGTGCTAATAAAGAGATTTACTACTCTATTTCTGAGGAATAGCTAGTCTTCTCACAGTTGACTGGTTGATTGGCCTGGAATGAGGTGCTGTCTGAGAAATTTCTGAATCTCTTTCCAAGAATGTTCTTGTGCAGCTGCATGTGGGATAAGCTCTCCCCCCCAGTGGATGGGTGAGGTTACAAAGGAGATTCTTGAGGCACAGCACATGGGAGAATAGGGAGGCTCTATCAGGTGGCCTGCCCCAGGGTAAGACAGCAGGCTCCAGTTGTTCTTCCCATGTCTCTTCAGCTGTTTTATAGCTTTCTCAGCAAACACTTTGCTGTTGATATTCTTGTCTTCTTCTCCGACAATGAAGAGGAAATGTCCCTGGGCCTTTTCAACGGGAAGTACAGACTGGCTAGATTCAAAATCAGTTTCCTCATAAACGCGATAAAACTCTGTAAACCCTAAGGCTGTGGAGGATTCCAAGTGTATAGAGCAGGGCATAGACGGTATGATTTTACCACGGTATTCATGTGTGCAGTCAAGAATGAAGTTAGGCCCACTAATAAGTACAGTGGCTATGACTTGTTTTAGGTGAACAGCCATAGAGAGTCCAATCATCGCTCCTTTGCAAACGGAGACTACCCCAACACCTGGGCCCAAGACCTGAAAACAATGGAAATGAAATGTTATTTTAATCTTCAGTTAGAAAATCCACAATCTCCAACAAGAGCTTCAATAAGAAATGGGAACAATCAAGTAAAAAAAAAAATCCACCCATATGCTTATATATCCCATTTCTAGAGTTCTGTAATATAGAATGTGTTCAAAGGCAATAATCCTTCAAAAACATTCTTCCAGCAAATACTACGGAGGGCTGGAGGTATGGCTGAAGCAGTAGAGTGTACCTACTTTGTATTGAGAAGCCCCAAACTCAAACCTCAGTTCAAACCAAACCAAACCAAACCAAAAAAAAAAAAGAGCAAGTACTATGGATTCAGCATTGTTTGGTTGTAAGTTTAAAAAGCCTTCAAGAAATGCCAGTGTAATAGTAGGAAAATGAATGTACTATTGTGAATGATAGTCAGGATATAATTGATGGGCAAACTTTATTGCACCAAATTTAGGCTCATTACAGGGAAACGTGTATTCTCTGTAGGAGTGCACAGAAAGAAGGTGAGGTTAGTAAGACAAAGCATGAAACTTGAACAGAGAGCCGTGGACTTGTTTTGGTTTCAAAACGAGATTTCAGAATGGGGAAGGGTTAGCTTCACCTCTTTCTTGTTGTCATCAGATAAGAATTTTTAGATTACCTACCCTGTGTTAAGTACCAGGAGACCCAGGGAAGAAAGGCACAATCTCTTGTCATCAAGTAACTTCCTGCCAGATGGAGAGACAGGAGGAAGGAAACACACACACACACACACACACACACACACACACAATCAGAATATTACAAATTCTTTGATATAGGGTGCATTCAGTTAAAGCTGCCAACCCAAATTGGCAAGAAATAAGTGCAGGATCAAAGAAAGACTCTCAGAGGAAATGGGCAATGAGTACTGGGCAGCATGATATGAGTATCTTTGAAAGACACACTTGGCAGCCTTTACTCTTTCTAACTAAAAAGTAGCATTAGGACAAGTTTTGAGACTGGGCATAAGGTAAGACTGAAGAAGTATGAAGAAGTCAAATTATAGAAAGTTTTGTCTAACATGTTAGGATGACTGGTTTTTATCCTGTAGTAAGTAGGGAGATCTTGAGCAAGTGAGAAAAACAGTGTGCTCCAGAAAAGCCAATTTACAATTCTGACTTAAAAAAAAAACTGAAGGCAGAAAAGCCAGAGCTTATTGCAACAGTAATGGCAAGAAATGATGATATCCTGAACAAAGGGAGCACCGGTGGAAATGAAAAGGAAACCACATGTTCATGAGTTATTTATGAGTGCAAAATATCAGTTAGGCATGGGAGTGCAAGGGAGAAGGGGTTAAAGATGATTGTTCTTTGCAGCACAAAATACAATCTTGGTTTTCTTTGAGCTGTTGCTTCTTGCAAGGATGGAATTTCAGAGATAAACATCTTGTTTTGTAAAGCCTTAATTGATCTCCTACTTCTTTCCTAATTGGTCTCCTATATTTTCAAGACCTTTTATCAACTAATATTTGGGGTATTTTTCTATTATTTATATATTAATGAATGTACATACCACTTGTGCCCAGCTGACAAAAAAATGAACAATAATTAGTTTGGGGGGAACTAAATAAATAGAATGAGTCATATATAGTCTCTATTTCCCACTCTGCCTATTAAAAGGGGGGTGTTGAACTAATTAAAAGATCTTTAAGAATCTGAAACTCTTTTTTAATGTTTATATTTAATTGACACAAATGACTATGAGGTACAATGTGATGTTTTGATACATGTATTGTATAATGAGCAAATCAGGCAATTTAACACATTCATCACTTCAAAAACTTTGTGGTAAGAACATTTAAAATCACTCTTTTAGTGTAAAACAGGTTCTTTCTGGGGGGTGGACACTTATGGGAGGGGGAGCATGAACAGAGAGGGTGAAGGAGGGTGAATATAGTTGATGGACTTTGTAGATATGTATGAAAATAGAATTATGGAAACCTGTTGAAATTGTTCTAAGAAATGGGGGAGGGTGAATGAGGGAGAATGATGGAAGGGTGAATCTAATTAAGATACATTGTAAGCACATATGTAAATGTCACAATGAAACCTCCCTGTACAACTAATATATGCTAATAAAAATGTAAAAAAATTACTCCTTCAGCAATTTTGAAATATGTATTAGACTATAGTAAGCATGATATACAATAGATAACCAGAACTTACTTCTCCTGTCTTACTGAAACCTTGTACCCTTTGACTACCATTTCCCTTTTCCATACCCAGCACCACTTCTGAAATTCTGTCTTCATATCAAAGATAAGAAAGTCACAGTTATGGCAGGAGAAATGGTAACACTGCATTTGGCCATGGAAGATAAAGTAAAAGCAACTATAACATAAATGAACAACAAAAAGGATGACTTAAATATGTACAGACTTTAATTTGGTCCTGATCCTTAGGATAACAGTAACTCTTGTTACAACCTTTGCCAGAAAATTTTAGATGAGAGAATCTCATAGAAGTTCTCAAAGTCAGTACCAACAGGTAGAGAAATGAGACTTGCAAGGAATGAAAAGACCTGAGTTCTATCATTCTGCAGAAGAGACACTGTGAAGAAAGGTTAATGGAAGTATTCAATACCTAGAAAAGAAAACTAGTTTTCAGGCCAAGGTTAGTCATTAACTAGTTGTCTTTGTGATATTACAAGAACAGTGATGGAAAAGTCATGCAGCAAGAAAGCAAAAAGTGCTGGTTGGGGATGTAGCTCAATGGTTGAGTGTTTGCCTAACATGCATGAGACTCTGGGCTCAACCTCCAGTACAAAAATAAATAAATAAATAGAAAGCAAAAAGTAGAATCACATAGCTTCTCTATTTCTCATCCAAGACAAATAAAGGGTCAGTGTAATAATAAAATTGTCTATCTGACAGTTCAGGATAATACCATTACATGTATCAAAAATAGCCACTTAAAATATCAGTGTATCAATAACTGGTCAGTTATTGTTGCTTATCTTATTATTGCAATCCTGAGTGTATTTTGGTGATACTTACATGAAAAACTATGTAGCAACTAGATTTGATTTTACCTCAGTTTTTATTGAGAAAAAATTAGGTAATTAACAAAGGATAATAAGCACCAATCCTATTTTAGCAACAAAGCATAAGTTTTAAGATTCAAAGAAGATATGTGGATTGGAAAGTACTACAGTATTATGTTTAAGTCTTCTCAAGTTACTAAAGGTCAGACTCACTCTCAAAGAAATACATATCTGTCAAGTTGAATATGGTGATGAGAAAATGATAACAATGATAATAATTATGCATCATTAATGAGTGTTCAACATTGCCAGGTGCAACATATCATTTTGTGTGTCATGATCCCCCTTCAAATCTCACCTTACCTTATGAAGTATTATCACGACAATATTATTTAAGCAATACAAAAAATACTGGAGAGGTCTAAGTAAGTAACTTTCTCATACTTCCTCAATTAGATGAAATGAAGCCAGAAATGCAATTCATTTCTGTCTGACTTCAAAGCCAATTCCTTTTGAAACATTATGAACATAGCCTAACTTCCTATGAATTTTGTTTCTCCAAGCAAAAGACATTGGATGAGAAATAAGTCACATGAATAGTATGGGTATGCAACAGAATTTCAAATATGATAGAATCATACTTGGAAGTTAAGAGAAGTCAAAGAAAATTAGGGTTATAAAAAAAAAAACTGGAACTAAAACCTACTAAAGAGATAAAAATTACCTTCGGATGTGCCAGAAGAAAATTGACAGCTTCCTCAAAATACTCCAAATTTACTTTCTCTAGTAGAGGAGGCAGGTCGTCATAGGCCCAGTATGCCAAGGCCAAGGAGGCAAAGCCATGGCTGGCCAGAAGGCTGGCCCGAAATTCAATCAGTCCACCATTGCCACCAAATAAATCAATGACTCCTGGAAAAGGGCCCTCTCCTAAACAAAACAAGACAAAAACGGAATTGTGTATGAAGGGAAAGTGAGGAAAAGATAACAAAATTATGAAACCACAAGGAAAGAAAAGCATCAGAAATATTGGAATTAATGCACAAAATTTTAAGTAGAACCTCCAAATTTTCAGCCTTGTATGTGGAGTACAAGGGAGGTCTATTGACTATATAATGGAACACAATGTCTAGAAGTTCTGTTAGGAACCATGTCTCCTGACATGTTTAATCCCTGCAACCAAGGAGAATGGGGTTTGTTTCTATAGTTTCAGAGTAAAGAAAACCATAAAAATTGGGGCCAAGTCTTCATAACTTAAAAAAGGTGCAGAAATAGGCTTCAGGAAATCTGTGACGGTCCTAAAATTAGATGCATATATATGATTATATGTATGTTTTATCAATGAGAGGTGCTATAGTTTGGATCAGGAATGCTCCCCCACACCCATATGTTAAAGGCTTGACACCAGGGTGGCAGTATTGGCAATTGGTAGAATCTTCAAGAGGTGAGAGCCACTGGGAGATCTTCATGTTACTGAGGGACCCCAGCTGCTTCTTCTTCCTCTCTTTTGCTTCTTGACCATGAGGTAAGCAGTTTGGGTCCAGCACACATTCCCACCAGATATGCTGCATTGTCCAAAGCAACTAGGCCAACCAATTACAAACTGAAACCTTTAAAACTGTGATCCCAAATGAACCTTTCTCTTTAGAAGTTGATTATGTCAGGTATTTATTACAATAATAAAAACTGACTATCACCCAACAGGGGTCCACAGATTGAACTGATTTCTCAAGTCTATGGCTAAAAAATTCTTTTAAACAATTACATTGGCTGAAATCCTGACTTAACACTACTCTGTTATACTAAGTGACTACCGAGTGATGATATCTCCCACCTAAACAGATGTGAATGATGAGCTCCTTCATTCAATCATATTCTCTATTCCTTGCAGTCTAACACATGGTAAAAAGGACAGATGATCAGAGTATCACTCTACAGTTACTCTCTGTGTAGGCAGCTTATTTCCAAAATTAAGTAGAGTTTACACACTGAAAGAAATTTACAGTGAGCTTATTGGGAATAGTCTATTCTTGTAAGTGTGATTTTACCTAAGGAAGACTAATCTCATCCATTTAAAATGAGTGGCTTAATTTAAAGGAGCACTGGGAATCAAAAACAAATTACTTTACCTTGAGAAAAGAGATAAAATGTTAATATATTTTGGTTTAAAAATACCATATGAGTAAATGAGTAAGGATGATTTTGCTCTTCTGATTGGCAGGAAAGAGAGAACAATTAAGAGTAGAAACCCCTTCTGTTGAAAGAATATTGCAATGTTTTGAGACCTGACTAAACCTCCTTATGATCCACACAACTCATGCCTTGTTTGTGTCCCCATAGAACAAACACCTAAAGCAGGAGACCCAGCATATGCAATGTCCTTCAGGGTCAACAAATAGCACATCCTGAACCAGTGTATCAGCCCAAGGTAGAAAGCCTGTACCAATACACAAATTTTTAATAGAGGTAGAATACTAAAGGAACAAAACTGTGTTACTTACTTTCTGGTGCACGATAGAGTAGTCTATGTGCCAATCACTGATGTGAAAAAATTAAAATTTGTCTAAACAATTGCATAGGTCATGATAAATTTGGAAGGAATAGGTTTTATCTTTTCTATACCATCTATAACTCTATGTTGCCAAAAACCATCCCTAAACATTTTAAGGGTCTTTAACCCATCTCAGTTCTATCAGTGGACTATTAAGTAAAAATAAATGAATAAAGGCAACACATCCGGATGAGGTGATGGCTATATCTAAAATCAAAGGACTTATGTGAAGAAGGGTCTTCAGACAGAGTTGAGCTCTGATCCTGTTGAAGTCTTAAGAGAAATTAACTTTACTTTGGTCAGTCCCCATAAACATGACCAATACATGTTTGAAATCTCTTACTAGTATGTGGAGATTGCTGTGGGAAACCAGGAGTGTTCTTGTACATTTTATAGTCATTAGGGAGCATGCTGTCTTGTCTGATTATGAAATATTCTATCAATATGCATTATTTATGGAAATAGAGGGTGTAAGTTTTCTTTGTATTCTCTATATTTGTGGCAAACTTTTAGTCTATCACATCATCAGCTTATTAACTGAAAGTCAAAAAGATAGAACCCCCCCCCAAAAAGAGCTAGGACATGATTACCATTAATTAAGGTGAGAGTTTTCAGATAGCTAGACTTTAATGCAGGTAAATTTAACATATTCTCAAACCTTTGGAAATCTCATAATAAAGAGACTCCATAAAACTGTATCTAGTCATATCATCAAATCAGCCCCAGAACTGCTGAGATGAAACTTAAGTTAGAGTGGAATATTACCATACTCTTGTTCTGACCCACAGTTAAACCTGATTTTAAGGCAGGAAAGGCAAGCTCTATATATTATTCCATATTCAAGCTAAATTTCATGAAAAAGAAGATGTCAAAAGAGGAAGAAATAAGGATAACAATAACCAAAGTAATTCTACTCACCTGGAGGGATAAAGAGGGCTCCCCGAATGCGACCTTTCTTTACCAGGATCCGTGTGACACCAGGTGCCACATACCACCTTTCCAAAGTCAGGCTGGCCTTTGGAGCACTGGAAATACTAGTTCTTACTGGAAAACTTGGCTCACAAAGTTTTAATTCAATTTGGAAGGGGCTATTCATCACCTCTCTTTTTGCCAGTCTAGTTAACATCTTTTCAGGTTTCAAGGACCAGAAGAGACCCATAGGGTGGACACCCACAAAGTCACCTCCAACTGCAGAATCACGTTCCAAGTCCACCTCACCAACTTCATTGGCCTTATAGTAGGCATGAGAATGAAACATATTCTCCTTCTCATCTTTCAAAGATGCCTTAAGACATACCACCTGAAAAGGTGTCAGGCCTGTAACTCGGATATGCACTGGCTCATCAACAAGCGCGCTTAGAGGAGTCGCTATCAGCTCAACCATTTTTGTGGTGTGGCACCGTGGATGATTCTTCAAAAATATCTTTGACAAAACTTCAAAATAGAAAGAAATAAAAAAGAATGAAACAAGGTAGTGATAAGGTTAATGAGTAATGAAACCAGGAAGCAGATCTCTTAGGATTCAGTTTTAACTCTCCAGTGATTTAGCAAATATTCTGTTACAATCTTGTAGTGCAAGACATCTAAGAGCTTTCAACAAATCTTTTGGAGGTACTGTAAGCCTTCAGATAAAGCAAGGTAGCTGTTCTCCAAAGGATGAGGGCCAAGGAGCACAGAGACATATCTCCATACTTAGAAAGCCAATAATATGATTGCAGAATTAAGAAAACATCCCAGTGCCCCTCCTTTTTGAAGAATTGTAAATCAGAATTTCCAGTGTGAAAAGCTAGCAACGTGGCCACAAAACACAAAGATTTCCTCCAGAAGTTCACTAATGCTAAGAACCTAGGCTCTTCTAATGAGAAAGGCCCAATCCCACAACCAAAAACATTTTGGAGCTGGTGGTACACGAAGTCAGCTAGAATTGCAATAAGGCCCATAGCCAGCTCAGCCACAGGGCAGACTGACTGAGCCCTTAATACCAACATTCTGACAGAATAGGGGTGTACTCTTCTCAGGAGGTAAATATTATTTCTTCAGTCATAAACTTAATACAAAATATCCAGGATTCAATTTTTTAAAACTATGAGATACAATAGAAGTAAAAAAAATTCATGATGATAAGAGAAAACAATCAGTAGACTAGAAGCAGCAATGTTCCAAATGTTGGAATTAATCAGATGAGAAATAGAAAAAGACCAACAAGCAATAGGACAACTTAGTCAAAAGTACCCAAACTAAATTATAAAGAGAAAAAATAATGTAAAAGTAGAATAGAACCCTTGAGATGTGTGGGACAAATAATATAATACATGTGTAATAGGTGTCTTAGGGAGGCAAGAGACAGGCACAGAAGAAATACTTGAAAAAACAATGCCTGAAATTTCTTGCAATTTGTTTAAAAACATCATGCCACAGTTGTAAGAAACCTGATAAACATGAGGAGGGCAAAATCAAAGAAAACCTCAACTACCACATATTGTCAAACTGACTATAGAAAGGGAGAGTTTTTAAAGCAGCCTGCGAAAACAGGAATATTACAGATAGGAAAGTGAATAATATAAATAACATTTGCTCTACCACAAATAATGAAAGCCAGAAAACAACAGATCCTTGCAGTACTCAAAAGGAAAACAAAACCAAACATCTAAAATTCCTTATCTAACAAAAATTACTTCAAAACTAAAGGCAAAATAAAGATATTTCTACCAAAAAAGCCAAGAAATTACGTTTGCATTTCAAGAAATGCTCTATTGAAGGAAAATTACACCAAATAGACAACTTGATCTGTTTGGGAAATGATGAAGAATAAAATAAACAGAAACAACAAAAAAATGGTTATCTTGGTAAACATAAAAGTCCTTTTTCAAAATTTCTTTATATATACATATACATGTATGTATATTTAAATATTAAAAGATTACTGGTTGTTGAAAATAAAAATAATAACTGTATTCTGGTTTATATAAGACATAGAAATAAAATATTATGACAAAAAGGTAGACGATAAATAGGAAAATCGAAGTATACTCTTGTGAGATTCTTATATCATAGTTTTTCAAGTAATACAAGATTATTTGCAAGTAGACTGTGATAATTTAAAGGATCTTGTCAGGAACTCACTGTGCTGGAAGAGAGAGAAAGGAAGGGAGGGAGGAGTAGAGGGAGGGAAAGAGAGAGAATGAGCTAGCTGAGCTGCCAGAGGTTAGAATAGCAATTAAAACAGAAAACAGCAAGCTATAAATGAAAGGATTAAGCCATTAATCACTTACTGTGATCCTATAGCAAAAATTTGAAGTTTTTGGTGTTTTGGAAACACTGGGGCTTGAACTCACAGCCTCATGCTTGCTAGGGAGGCAGCAGGCACTCTTAACTCCTGAGCCACTTCACCAACCCACAAAAACTTAGACTGGAAAAGGTATGTAGGCACAGAAAGTCAGTGGATCAGCACAGATGCAGAGGCCTTCTTACTGCTGAGAGAGTCCCCTAAAAAAAGTCTCTGGCAATTTTATGGATTCCTGGGATTGGTGAGGGGAGAAAAGAGGAAAAGGAGACCTGAAAACAGAATTCAAGTGGAGAGAACACAGACTTTTACTCATGGTGAAATGAGTATCAGTCACACCAGGGAGAAAAAAAACATGTGGTATGAGATGTGTATTTGTGCTGCCTTTAGCTATTTTTGGGAAATACAATCTGCCAGAACAGGAAAGGAGGAATAAAAGAGCAAATGAATGGAAAACAAATACCAGAATGGGAGATTAAAATCCATTCATATTAATAACTGCATTAAATATAAATAGAATAAACATCCCAATTAAAAGACATAATTGTCAGACTAGTTGAAAAAGCAAATTTCTATTTTTTACAAACACGTTGTCAAGACAGACAGATTAACGTATAAAAGAAGAAAAACATGAAACACAAACATTAAGCATAAGAAAACTAGTGGGGCTATATTTATCAACTTAAGTTATATACACTTTACATAATTATATATTTATTTCTACGTATCAACTCAGATGTCACAATAGAGTATTGTTGGAGATAAGGGGGACATTTCATAATGATAAAAGAATTGGTTCATCAAAAAAAAGTCACAATCTGAAGGCATTTCAAAATACATGCACCAAAATGAAAAGACCAAAAAATTCATAATCATAGTTGAGGATTTTAACACTTCTCTCTCAGAAATTGAAGCACATTTAAAAAGTCAGTACAGCATAGAAGATTTGAACACTTTCAACCAACTTGATCTAGTTGTTATTTATGACACTACATCCCCAAACTTCAAATTACATTCTTTATAAAGACGTTAAGATAATGCTTTCTGCCTAGAATGGAAAGGACTGGATTAGGAATTTAGAATATAGGAAGCTGAACATAGAAACTGACCTAACAAAGTAGGTACTAGCCACAGTGGGTATTGAACACTTGAAATGACTGACCTAAATAATCCATGGTGAAAGAACAAATCAAAATGGAATTGGGAAAATATTTTTATCTGAATGATTATTGAGAACAAAATGTACCAAAATTCTTGTGAATTTAGTTCTGTGAGGAAGCATACAATCCTTTTCCTGAAGATATCAAGTTCTGCCAGATCAATCCCTGTGGATTACAGTCTGCCCTTTCTTTTCTACATATCCTTCCCTTCCCGACTGCCTGAAAGAGTTCAAGCTCCAAAGATGAAAGATAACAATCTTTCAGAGTCTGCCAAACCAATTCCCACAATTGCGTAAGCTCAAATCCTGTAACAAATACATGTTAGTGAGATCAATGCTCTATTGAATATACTTCGTTACTCCTTGTGAATTTTTACAGTTAAAAAGTGGCATGGTGAGGGCAGAATCTAACAAGAGTGGGTTGAAAGATGAGTATGACAGCTTGATTGTTAAGAAGAGGGGCAATCCACTACTGACGAATGGATTAAGAAAATGTGGTATTTATGCACAATGGAATTCTACTCAGCCATGAAAAAGAATGAAATCTTATCATTTGCAAGTAAATGGATAGAATTGGAGAACATCATTCTGAGTGAGGTTAGGCAGGCTCAGAAGACCAATAATTGTCATATGCAGACTTTAGATCAAGGGCAAATACAGCAATGCTATTGGACTTTGGTCACATGATAAGGGAGGTATGGGGATAGGTAAGAAACCAAAAAAAATGATAGTATTTGATGTCCTCAATGCAAAGGAACTAATGCAGAAACTTTAAAGCGACAGGGGCCAATAGGAGAAGGGGATCAGGAACTAGAGAAAAGGTCAGTTCGAGAAGAATCAACTTAGAATGTAACACATTTGTACATGAAAGCAATGCTAGGAATCTCCCTGTATAGCTATCCTTATCTCAACTAGCAAAAACCCTTTGTCCTTCTTATTATTGTTTATACTCTCTTCAACAAAATTAGAGATAAGGGCAGAACAGTTTCTACCTGGAAGCGAAGGGGTGGGGAAATTGGGAGGGGAAGGAGGGAGAGGGAAGGGGAGGTAGGGGGGAAGAAATGACCCAAACATTGTAAAAATTTTTTTAAAATTTTTAAAAAGAAGGGGGGCAAAATTAGAGGGACAGCTGAAGGAAGGGTTAAGGGAGAGCTTGTTTTGTGTCTTACTTGAAGTTCCTCAAGAAGCTGACATTGATATAGCAACCCAAGAGCCAGGCACTGGTGGCTCACACCTATAATCCTAGCTACTCAGAAAGCAGAGATAAGGAGGATCCTGGTTTGAAGCCAGCATGGGCAAATAATTTGTGAGACCCTGTATTGAAAAAAAAAATCACAAAAAAGGGCTGGTGGAGTGACTCAAGGTGTAGGTCCTGAGTGCAAACCTCAGTACTGCCCCCCAAAAAACCAATACAAAACAAACCCTCAGAGCAAGTAGTTTACTTTAAGGGGGTTCCAGAAAACATCGATAGAGAAGTAAGAAGTACAATAAATGGCTGGTTGAGGGCTGCAAGTACACATACACATTGAACTCGCTGCATAGTCTAGGCAGGCCTCGTGAGTAGCTGGGATTACAATCTGAGCTCCTATATATACACATTGAAACAGACACAGGCATGAATAAATGCTGATAAGAATGAGCCTATGGAGAAGTGCTGAGTAAGAATTCAATAAACAAGACACTGCCTTTGTTTCCTCAGAAGCTTAAAAACAAATGATTTTATAGCTCAAAAGTACATTTTACCTGTTACAATATTCAAGAAATTCAAGAAATAGAATGAAAATAACAGAAAGCCACTGTACTTCTGTAACAGAAAGTGTTACAGAAATGTTTAGAAAGATTAATTGTGCTAACTAAAATAAACATAAATAGAAAAAAATCAATGAATAATAAATGTTAAAATCTTCTGTCTTGATATAGAAATATAATAATGCATTTAACA